GCCTCCAGCTGCCGCCGGAGAGAAAAAATCCCCGATGCCCCACGCGTCCCACCGGCGAGATTTGGGACCGTGGTCCGTGACGGGCACCGTGCACATCCGCAGTGCTCGAAGGCACCGGCACCTGGCACAACGGGCAGCCAAAAAAGTGCTCAAAGGCACCAGCACCTGGCACAACGGGCAGCCAAAAGGGCTGGTGTGGCACTGGCACAGCACAGGGACGTCCCTGGCTTGTGGGAACTGTGGGCACCAGCATCCCAACCCAGCCCCATATAAAACCTAATAATCTCCCCTCGACAAGGGGACAAGGTCTAACGCCAAATACAGCCCCCGTGGCGTGATGCCAAAGGGCTGCGGGAGCCTCCGGAGTGCCCGGCCCCGCTCCCGGTGCACGGGGTCTGGGGATGGACGAGCCCCCACCTGCCCTTCCCACCTTCTGCTGCGCCAATGCCCTTCTCTCTGCGCGGGCACGGTGCTGTGAAAGGCAATAAAATGCAAAGCCCGTCTCGTTAGCGCATCCCCTTGCTCCCCCGCGCATCCCAGGTGCATTCCCGTGACGTTCCGCGATGAAATACGGGCTCGTTCCAAAGGCGTCCCCGGGGCTGAGCGGAGGCAGCCGAGATGGAGCGAGCCCGGCTCCTCGCGGGGATCGTAAACCGACACGTTTTAATGCTCGCCAGGGCTGGGGCCGTTATTTTCTCTCTGTTTTAATTTTAACTAATCCTGAGCAGTGCTGAGAACCTGCCCCCAGCGATGGAGAAGAGCCCAGTGTCCCCACCCCGGGCAGGTTTGGTGTTGAGATCTTCTGTCTTTGATAAAGTGGAAGTTTTTACTGGAAAAAGACATTTCTAACAGTGAAATGAACAGCAGCCCTTTGGCATGAAGCTGTGGCTGCCCCATCCCTGGCAGTGTTCAAGGTCAGGTTGGATGGGGCTTTGGGCAACCTGGTGTGGTGGAGGGTGTCCCTGCCCATGGCAGGGGGGTTGGAACTGGATGGTCTTGAAGGTCCCTTCCAACCCAAACCATTCTGTGATTCTATGCCATGTCCTTGTGCTGGATGCTCTCATGCCAAGGGGCCTGGAGAAGGACAACTGGACAGCCTGTGGCTCTCCCTGCTCCGGGCTGAGCTGCAGGACCTGCGGCAGAGCAGCTCCGGGACATCAAGGTGATGCCACCCCTCGCTCCTACCCAGCAGTCGGGGTGATCCCCAACAGCCCCGGCACGGTGTGGGCTGGTTGTGGTGGGACTGAGCAGCCCCAGCCCCATCTGGTCCCACATCCTTACCCAGAACCTGGGATTTTGGGGGATGCCCCGCACCCCTCCCCTAGGGCAGCTCCTCCTGCCCCAAAGCCGGCGCCTTCGAGGCACCAACCATCTCTTCTTCCATCTGCCCATCCCGCAGCCCCGGACCTGCACTTGATTTCATAGATTTCATAGATTTCTAGGTTGGAAAAGACCTTAGAGATCATCGAGTCCAACCATCCCTAATCCCCATTAAACCATATCCTCAAGTAGCTCATCCACCCATAGATTTCATAGATTTCTAGGTTGGAAAAGAGAGGAGCAACAACAGCTTTGGGAGGAAACTTCTGGCCTCCAAACCTGCTCCAACACCAGAGCGAGGAGCAAACCCCAGCAGAATCCCAAAAGGAAAAAATCACCCAGGCACAGCTTTCCCAGGATTTGGGCGACTCCTCGTCTCTCCGGGGAGCTCAAACCAAAAGCGAAAGCGAGGCGGTTGCTGCCAACGTAACTCGGGGGGACGGGACGCTCCTTTTTGCTGTGAGATCTCGGCTTTTGGGAGCAGCTGCTGCTTTAAATGGTTTTTTTGGAGGTTTTTTCGGGATTTTTTTTCCCCGAGTAGGGGAGGGAGCTCTCCCCACCCTCCTTTAATACCCCGGTGCTTTAATACCGTGCAACAAGACGGACTGATAAATAAAAGAAAACGAAACATCCACCCGGCAAAGCAGACTCCGAGTCCCAAAGGGAAGATTTATCCAAGGTCTTTCAGGAGAGACAATTAAGTGAGGGCAACGCCAGAAAGACGATAAATCCAGGGAGACAAATGAAGGACAAGGAATATCACCCCTCACCACTCCGCCAGTTCTTCCCCCCCCTTCCAGCAGTTTCAGCTTCCAGCCTCATTTTCTCCTCCAGCAGGAAAACAAACCACTTTAATGCGCTCAAGACGGTGCCGAAAAACCCCGAGCTTGGGGGACTTCAAACATTATTTTTCTCGCCCGAGGGCTCCATCGCTCTTTCCCCGGATGATGCCTCCCAGTTAACGAGGGCATATCCACATCCAGCTATTCCAGCGCCCTTTGATATTTAATAGGCCGAGTTCCAGTGGAGCCCTGAGCTGCTTTACATTATATAAAATTACAGTCCCACTGCAAGCACCGGGTTAATTCACTTACAGGAGGGAGGAACGCCGCCTTTCCCACCCCGGCATCGCTCTCCCTCTGCCTCTTCCCTCTTTTTGGGTGTCTTTGCTTAACAAATCCTCCTCCCGTTGTATCGCTGCCCAACTGGAAGCTAATTGGGACCCGAATCCCGCTGCAGGTTGGCACAAAGCGGGTTGTTACCTATTCAGCTGAAGGATGCTCTGCCTCAGGGCACGCGCCGGGGCGGCTCGGGG